CAGTTTTATTTTGCAAAATCACAGCAAGATCTACAAATGTATTCTGCTAATTCTAATACACGACTATTTTATCAAACGTTTTAGAAGCACAGTTTTACACTCGACTAAACTTAGCCGAGATGTCTTGCAGTTTCTCTCTCTGTCATTTAGCAGATTCTGAAGTAATTCAGCACTTTGTTCGTACATTTCTGTAGGACAGTACAGAATGTTTTGCTTCCAATCAGTCACTCGATCGTTAAATTATGATCTTTATAAATAAGTTGCTAAAACTGTTTATTTAGCTCAAAGAGTAGTTATAAACAGATTAGTCACTGAAAACATACTGTTGCTGCTTTTTTAAATTGCTTTTAGAAGAAAACGAAAGCAATTGAACTATGTTAAGTAATAGAGTCAATAAAAAGCTGTTTTCAAACATCAGCCCTTAAAAAAACTATTTATTTTGAATATCTGAAAAAGACTGAACACTGTCTAAGCACAGAAAACAAGTTTTTTAAATCAAATGATCAAGTACAATTTTGTATATCTTTGCAAAAAAACGCAGATGAACAACAATAAGCAATTGCGTAACCTTTTAACTTGAAACTAGTACTACAAAAGTGGAAACATCTTTTTGCAAGTTACTTTAAAAACGTTGTTTACGTAGACTCAGTATATAAAAGAATATTTTCGATATAATCACTCAGCATATATCATGGCCACAACCTGCAAATTTCATTGGTAACCTTGACTTACACCCATGCCTGAGCTGTGGTAGAAGACGCAAACGACAAGATTGTAAATTCCGCCAGGGTGAGTGTCATAAATGCCACAAAAAAGGTCACCTTGTTAGAGGTTACAGAAGCAAAAATATTACAAGTTCTCCAGTTAGTAACGCACGGAAAACAGCCAGTGGAAAGTCACACGAACTGGAAGGAAACGAGACTTTGGGACGTCCCCGTCCTTCCATTTATAGGATTAAATCCCCTAATTTTGATCCAGTATTACAACTTCAGCAGACGGGAAATTTTGTACTACGCTTCTACATAAATGCACATCCGCATAGCACACAACTAGATACAAGATCACCAATTACAAATTTAAGTCACAATGACTGGAGAAGCATAGGCTCTCCAGCTTTAAGTCCAGTTTCCGTCTACGTCCAAAGCTATTATGGAGATCCGTTATCTTTTAGTGAAGAAGTCTCCACCAAAGTAGAATTTCAGGGTCATGTTGTCTTTACGATAGTGCGGATTTCAAATATCAACGCTATTAGCATCTTAGGAAGAGATTTTATATTGCTTTTAGGTCTGGACAACGTCTCAATCAAATCGTTCTGTAATGTAGTTTTGAAAGACGGCGCTTCATCAAAACTTCTCTCACAATTCACGTCGGTTTTTCAGCCAGGCCTGGGTCTCTGTTCGTAAGCGAAAGCACACTGGCAGTTGAAACCTAATTCGTCCCCAGTTTTTAGACCAAAACGTCCGGTACCTTACGCGCTCTGCTCAGCACTAGAAAAAAAGTTATCCCGCGTGGTAGAAGCAGATATTATTTTACCAGTTGTTTACTCTCAGTGGTGTGCCCCAATAGCTGTGGTCAAGAAAAGGAAATGATAAAATTAGAGTTTGCGTCAATTTCTCAACGGGATTAAATGCAGCAATAGACATTCACCATTTTCACTATATACTCTCAATGATATTTTTGCAGCTCTCAATGATGGAACCCTCTTTTCTCATTTGGATTTCTCTGATGCTTATTTACAAATAGAGGTTGATGAGCCATTGAAGAAAGTACTTGTAATTAACATCCGTTTGGGACTGTTTCAGTATCCTTCCGGTGTCAATTCAACACAGGCAAATCTTCAGCAAATCATGTCTCAGATGATTTCAAGTGTAACACTTGCTGTAACAAAAAAATAGAAATGGGGGCTAAAACACTTCTATTTTTCTGCTTATAAGTCGTGTCTTTGAACGATTGTAGAAGGCGATGGAATGTGAACACCTCAAAATTGGGTGATTAAACCTTTATTATAAGAAAAAAAAAA